CTGTATGCGTGTCTGTGTGTGAGCCCCTCCTTCCATCAGTCAGGACTGCAAGTAGAATGTAATTCTATGGGAAACATTGGCCCACTACACACTAATCAACTACAAAATTCCACAATAAAATGAACCAGGGAAGAAGCAGAGAATTCCTATCAAAGGTTATTATTATTGTAATTACTCAAGACCTTCTCTTTTTCCAATTGTAGGGTTTTGTACTTAACCCTGGGTTTAACCTTGTGTGTGTGTGTGTGTGTGTGTGTGTGTGCTGACCTTGGCAGGCGGTGATAGACCTGCTTTGCCAGGTATGAATTCCAGCTTGCCATCATCCTTAGCCTGCATGGACTTTAGTCCAGCCTGCAGGATGGACCGTAACTTCTCATAGGGCGGTCTGTCTTGATATCCCAGAGATTTCACCTCCTCCATGAAGTTCTGGATTTCAACTGCAATAGAATGACACCGTGATTCACCAGTTTATCATAAACTGAAAGTCTACAATTAGCTCCTCACTTCAGTCATTATGAGTGGTAACTAGGTCTGCCACCTGAAAGTTGACTAGTCCAATCATTAGTTGAGAGACCAGTCAGCAGAGACTCTTCTAGTCAAACCTTTATTTTTATTTTATATCATATATTTGTCAGCCAGTGGGCATTACAACAGAAGGCAGCCCCAGCCCGTAGCTTGTTGTCTTCTTCATCTTATTTTGGCGTGCCAAGCAGCAGTTTGCTCAATACTTCTCACTGTGGTGGGGGGGGCCCATTTGAATGGTGTCACTGTACAATATATGGATGTATAAGGTCCCATGACACCATTTAGAAAATTACTGCCCAGAGCAAGGACAAAAAGACAACAAAACCCACTAGGACAAGCCACATAAAGGTGAGATTTGAACTTTATTAGAAGTATTTTCCAACATCATGGACTCCGTTTCCAAGAAAAAAGGATAAGGATAATAACCTTTTTTGGCCAAGTATGTTTCACACAAGGAATTTGTTTCCACTACAGAACCGCTGGCAGCCATCTGCGGTGCCAACTCAACCGATGGCTCTAACCATCGGGGGGTTCAGTGCCTTGCCCAAGACCACTTCGACACATGGACTGCCCGCACCGAGATTCGAACCTTCAACCTTCTGGTTGGGAAACGACTACCCACCGCACCACCGTCGCCTCCCCAATAACTAATAGTCTTGACAGTGTGGATGTTCTGCAAAAGTGCAGCGCACAGCCATTTATCTTAAGTTTCTGCCACATGCACCCATCTGAACGGGACTAGGAAGCCAACAAAAAATGCACTTGGAAAAGATTTCAATGAGGAATTGTAAATCAGTGGAATCCTAAGTATATATTCTTATATTCTTTATCAGTGCAAGTTGGCTCACATCAAATGTAACATCATGTGCTGGTTAACTGACAAGAGAAGCTCAAACTTGTTGGTAAACTAGATTATAACAATGTCTCAGAAGAAAAATTTGCCTATAAGAGCTTTTTTCCAACAGAAATGTGTGCTGCCCGTCTCATTCTTCTGACAAATCCATATGGCAGCCCCACATTATATTCCTACAGAGGACACACTGAGTCCGTTCTCTGCTCTTCTATCACTGTCTGGTTTGGTTCAGCAACCAAACAGGACAGCAACAGACCCCAGGGGACAGTTGGGACTGTGGAAAGAACCATCGGTGCCAACCTGACCTCCATGAAGGACCTGTACACCTAAAAGGAGGGCAGAGAAGATTTCTGCGGACCCCTGATACCCTGGTCACAAACCATGTGAACTCCTTCCCTCTGGACGGCGTTAGAGGTCACTGTACACCAAAACAACCAGACAAGGACAGTTTCTTCCCTCGGGCCGTCACTCTGTGCAATAACTGTAAATAGAACCACTACATGCAGCAGTTTGATGAGGGTCCTTGGTACGCTAGCGGTTAAAGAACGCTCTCGCTGCTGCGGCCCAGGTTCAAGACAGGGTTGCATCAGGAAGGGCATCCGGCATAAAACACGTGCCAAATGTCAACATGCAAGCCGTCAGTGTGACGATTCGCTGTGGCGACCCCTAAACGGGAAAATCCGAAAGTGACTCTCTCTGCATGCGGTATATACAGTATGCATATATGTGTGTGTGTGTGTGTATATATATATACACACACACACATACATA